CATTGCTTATCACTACAGTTTAAATTTTCTGCTTTTTTTTTCAGCTTAGCAATATATTTAGCTGGTAAACTAAACCACTTAAAAATATTGACCGATTAAACAGAAATAAAAATAAAAGTAAATAAAAAAAGTGCACATAAAGAAGCGCAAAATAAAGGCAATAAAACTTTTACACTTTTAATTATTTCGTTAGGTTTTTTTGGTTACAGTTTTCACCAAAAAAAATGTTTGTCGAAAAAAAAAACCTTACTAGTTTTTTGCCCACTATCAATTTTTTTTATAACAAATACAGACTTGCCGAAAGACGATGTGTAAAGAAACTTCAAGAAACACACTCTATAAAAGATACTTAAACACATTTCCTATACTGTATCATTCTTGGTAGTGCTTAAATAGTCAAAAACTTATCCAGAAGAATGGCATCCAAAACTGAAGCGACAAAAATGATTAAGGTGATGGTGATGAAGCGAACAACCGTTGTAGAAAGAAACAGTGTTAAGTGACGATCATTATCAGCTGAAAAGATCAGCGTTTATGCAAATGCTTCCAAATTTTCTGGAAGTGGCTCCAAAACTGGCTGAAATCTTGGTCGGGTTCCGGAACCACGTCTGGTACGACCTTCGTCTTTAACACGATTACCGTTGTCTTGAGTAACGGCATTCTAAAAATGTAAATAAAAAAATATTTTCCAATCAAAAATGCAACTTTTTGAAAAATGAGCAATTGAAAATTTGTTGCCCCATTTTCACCAGGCATGAAATGATCATTTGACAGCTGAATGACTTTTGTAATTTCTTTTTTTTGCTTCCCTTTTTGTCATCATAAGAAAACATTAACCTGTGGTCTTTCGGCAATAATCAACCTTAAATAGACGTCGGGTATCATACGCTCTTCTTGTGCTTCGTCATAAATCAGCCTCACAGACCCAACAGTCTTTTTCACAGACTAAAAAATAGAAAAAAAAAACAGTTGGAAAAAAATGACGATAATGATAGGTTACAGGTTACCGACAAATTTCAGCAACCTATCCTTTTTCTTTTGAAAAATTGCAGAAGTCACACTTGCCAAGCTTTTACAGTTTTAAACTTGATAAAACAGTTGAAAACTATTGCTTTTAATCAGATAGTCCGGTAAGCTCATTGAATCAGTTAGCGAAAATTGGAACAAATAAATCAAATCCCCCTATGTTCAACTCAGAAGAAGCGGAAAGTCAACGTCTTGCTTACCTGTTCGTAGGCAATTAACTGTCTCCAAAATCCAATGTTTGGCCTAACTCGGAGTCTAGTTCGGCACATCAAATGATATGCATCACGAAGCGAACGACAGTGGTATTTCATTAGGTAGGCTAAACATACTGTTGCAGATCTGGAAACACCAGCGACACAGTGCACTAACACTCGGCCTCCATCATGGATAATCGAGTGAATTTGGTCAGTGACCAAGTCCAAATCCGGAAAAATATAGGTTTGTGGTGTATCATCGTACCACAATTTAGTGCGCTGAATATTGCCAAGAAAGCGAAAATTTGGAACCTGAAAATAAAGTAGCGATTATTTGAGAGTCATATTTGTTCACCTCAGATACATCTGAATTTTTATTCTACCTAATAGTTTACAGAACCCAGAGAAAATAATGCTGAAGACAGACAATACCTCAGATGTTGCATTGACAATATGTGATACACGATGTTTTAGCATATTATCTAATGTCAATTCGCTAACTCCACAAATCATCAGACCGGGAATCAGTTCGCTTATTCTCGCATATTCGTGATTAACCGTGAACGATATACGCGGCATAACGTTTTCTTTTTCAAAGTTTTGTATTTGTATAGCTGAAAAAGTTTTTGCTAAATAGGTCGGGATAAAAATGGTAAAGATAAAAAAGAGGCGAGAATACGATAACTGGATGATGAAAATAAAGAAATCAACAGAATACGGTGTGTCAGCTTTATCAGAACCCAAAAAATACTGATGCCAAAATGTCTACAGTAAACAATAAGTGCTTGTAAAAAATGGAGAAGAAAGTGTATTAATGCCATACCTGCTGAAGAATGCTGGAATTTTAATAGCAGGAAATCTGCAATTGCTTGAAGAAAAAAAGGAAATAAAAAAGGAGTAAGAAGAAAGAAGCAAATAAAATTCAAAAATTGTTGTTGGTAATTTTTGTCAAAGATAAGGGGAGGGGG